ATCTGTAATCCAACGTAAATTACAATTTCAAAATTTAAAATCCCAAATATTGAATTTCGTATCTGAAATTCAAAAGCCTCAATTCCTATTGTTGTGGTGGTGGTGTAGGAGAGTGATAGCATAAAAGAGATAGCTAGCTTCTGGCAAAGGATTCTTACAGTTTGGTCCTGCTCAAGATGTTTGCATTGCATTAGGCAAATCAAACATCCAGAATCTTGGTGAAGCTTTACTGTGGATTTGCCCGTGGGTGTGTTTCTGCAGAGTTATTTTATGAGTCCCTGTCATCCAGCTGGGAAAGGTTCACCCAGCATGTAACAAAGTGTCATCTAATTGGTGGCGGCCCACTACAAAAAAGTATAGATTTTGTGAAAGCTTATAGAGATGTCTAGTTAACTTTATCTGTGATAACTTTGTGTGTAAACATGATACATGTATGGAAAAATGTGGAAGCGTCTTCAGTAAGGGAAGACATCTGCTTTTTCTGCATCTGCATGTGTGACATAAAAAATTGACCATGATCTCAGCTCTTTGGGTGACTGCACCCCTTGAAGGTTTTGATCAAGCTTCTTTCACATGAGCGTAACTAGAAAGCTGGGTGCACTCAATTTCATACTGCTGTGATATCTATTTATATATCTCCGTGTCTGACCTGTTTCTTTGTGAATACTATTCCTCTTTCAGTTGTTGTTTTAGAATACCTGATTGTTTGCAAAAATGCATGTAAATTTCCTGCTATCCTGTGTAAATTGGCCTAGGAATTATTCTGTAATTTTTAAAATATCTTCCTCAAATAAATGTTTATAAAAGTATAAATGTCCTTAAAATAATTTTAAATTTATTCCAGAATTATATTTTGGGATTTTTTTATCTTTTGAGATTTTAGACTTTAGGAATTTTGGTCTTTCAGGATTTCAACTTTTAGTAATAAAGTGTTTCTATTTTCATGTTTTAGATTTTAAACCCAAACTCTTTCATTATATATCTACGATATAGTATAATTTTCCTTAAATCATTTTCAACACCTTTGCAAAAGATTTCTGTCCTTTGGTTCTCTCTTTTTTAACCTCTGTTTTAGGAGTCTTATTTTCCTGCTTCCTCCTACTTCTAATAGACCTGCATGAACACTGACTTGTGATTAGAACACTTCAGGCACCCAGATTTTATTAACTTCTAAGAGCGTTTTAAGTTTTATTTTGGTAGACAGAGCTTATTCAACTTTGTTCGCCTGAATCTTATTTAAACCTTGCAGGGATCCTGAGATGAGCCTGAACAATAGAGCTATTCTAGTGCTAATTGTAAGATAACACTTCCTGAGTTTTTATTAAACCTCTTAGTTATTTAAGTCCTTTTATTCTGAGTGGCCGGCAATTAAATGTCCTTGGGAGCTCTAGTAACATTTCTCCTGAAGTTCTTTTTTGGCGTTGCTTGTCAGGACTGCGGCATACATCTGTATGCTGATGCAGATTTCCATGCTGACAAGATGCGGATTTCCATCCTGACAAAGATGTAAGGGGACCCCAGAGAATCATCAGAAATTCTCTTTTATCCACCACTCCCAAACTTCCGGTACTGTGTTACCCAGATTCCACCTGATCAGCTTTTTCTAATGTTGAACCATTTTTCTCAACTAATCAATATTTTCGTGTTATTTTGATGTCCTTCCTGTAGTTCATAAATCACCTCTAGGGAGACAGCCAGGACCGCAGAGGTCACATGTTTATTTCCCTTCTTTCTAGACCACAGCCTGGCAATTGCTGTCATATCTGAAACATTTATGTAATTTTTTTGTCTACTTCTCTAGCTGTTTATGGAAAGAGGCTTGGGCCAGTGCCTAAGCTCCACAGTGACCCAGAGAGCTATTTGTTCAAATTGATTTCTGTCAAAGGCTCTTAGATATTTCAGCTCACAAAGAGGAGTCCCTTCAACAGTCTGTGCTCAAACGCTTGGATACTTGTAGTAAAAAAAGAAAAAGAACTGTGATCTCTGCTGCAGTTTACACCAAAAACAAAGCAAGACAAGTAAACAAACAAAAGATGACCACTGCTGATTATATATAAAAGCACAATGAAAAATGATTAAGTGTGCAATGAAATAGTAAAAGAAATACTTCAGGGCTTTGAGATAGGCACAGACTTCTTAGATAAGGCACAGGAAACAAAATTCCTTGGCCAACAAATAGACAAGTTGCTCTGAGAACTCTTTCGTGACTGTTCTGACGAAGCCCCAGCTGCAGCCTGCTCGGTAACGCTGCAGCGAGAATCACGCTAAGTCCTTTCAGGGGAGCCCCTCACCCTTGATGTCTGAGTTGGAACGGCTTCCCTGTACCCCACCTTGGATATTTTGCCTTCAACGAGAATCTTGTGTTCATTTAGGAAGAATACTCCTGCTCTTGGCGTCTGTGGAGAGTAACTTTCCATCTATGCCCACCCAGGTCTGCGTGCTGCTGTAAATTCTTGGCAGTCTTCGCTGTATTTGGACTTGAGACCTATCTCTCTGCTTTACCATGCGTCATGCAAAAGTTTCAAATACAGATTTTTCTTTCTAACTATTTTTACAAGAGTAAGAATACTTCTCTCTTTAACATTATAAAAAATGAAATGGTGAAAAAAGTCCTTACGGATATGTGAGTGGGATTTACTTTGGCTTTACTTAGACACATGAAACTTTAGTGAATACTTAGTTTATTTATGAATCTGGAGTAAAGTGATAAATTTATCGATTCAAAGTAATTCCTTGTCAAAGAAGTGTCAGAAATCTGCTTATACCATGCACAGTATTCCTGTAAAGGCTTAAAGGAGTCTGCAGAATGTAAATACTTTTACCTTTGCTCAACCCACACTGCCACAGCATTAAACCTTAATCTTTCCGGGAGAGCAGGGTGAGACGCTGGTATGAGATGTTCCTTGCTGCTTATCACTCTATTAATTTGGAGACACAGCTTGATCCATGAAAAATTATGCCAAGCAATCAAGTAATGATCTGTTTTGGAAAGTGAATTAGATAAGCAAAGTAAAGGGTCAATAGATTAAATACTGTGTTAAAAACTGCTGCTGCATAGTTCATTCCACTTAAATTTAATGCTTTCTTCTCAAAAAAATATCAAATAGTATCATTTTGAAAAGGCTGTATTCATGATATATTTTACCATAGCAGAGTTTTCCTATAGCAGCTTTAATAAACAAAGAAAAGAAGAAAGAAAGAAAGAAAGAAAGAAAGAAAGAAAGAAAGAAAGAAAGAAAGAAAGAAAAAGAAAGAAAGAGAAAAAAGAAGAGAGGAAGGAAAGAAAAGAATAAAAGACATGGCAAGGAAAAGAAAGGGAAAGGAAGGGAGAGGAGAGGAGGGGAAGGAAGGAAAGGGGAAAAGGGCAAGAATAAAACTGTAAAATAATTTAAAGGGGGATGCACTTTTTAAGTAATGCAGACTACATAGGCCAATATTTAGACATGTTATTATTTTTGGTTTATGAGAATTTCTTCTTTCTAATAGAGTTACCCAGGTGTGGGTGAGTGATTGTAGGTGTTTTGTGTTGGTATAAATTCTCTTATCACATGTACTTTGCAGATCTCCATTGGAAGGAGCTTTCCACTCTACTATTTGAAGAACACTTCGGAGTTGCAATCTATCATTGTATATATAGCTCCTTGTCATGATGTCCGTAACATTAAATATGAGAACGATGCATGGTAGATCATCCCTTGTTGCATGCTGAGTGCAAATATCTTCAAAGAGTCATCACTTGAATGAATAAAAACAACTTTCTCCTGATTTATTTAAAACATTTCACAGTACTGAAATTCTAATTGAGCTTTGAGAATTTAACACAGCTACAGAGGAAAAAGCAAAGAAAATATCCTTTCAGTCTGGGACAGCTATATGGCCAGACAGCACGATAGCAAACGAAGTACAAAATGGTGCTCGGAATTGTGTGGGGGTTGGGGTAAAGAATCTTAAATTTGAGAAATGTATTTATTTGTCCATTCTGTCTCCATTCAAGTTCGATTTGCTCACACTACTTACCACATGAGGCCCCGACATGATTTTGCCTGAGAAGCACGGTGCCAGTGTGTGGTTTATTCCAGGAGAGAAACAATGTGTCTACATTTTGTATATTTTACAGAGATCCCTATCCTCCTTCACCTTATCAACCTAAATTTCATTTTCTACAATCATTGAGGCTAGAGACGGAGCATTCTGTGTGCAATGATGCAGATAAAATATTTCCGAGTGGTTGGGATGGGAATGTGCGTGGCTCGGGGCTGGAGACTGTGCGTGGCTCGGGGCTGGAGACTTTGCCGGGCATGCTCTGAGTTCTGGGTTCCACTCCTAATATTGGAACAAGAGTCTGGGGGTGGTTAGTCTCAGATGGTTGTGAAGTGTTTGGGGAACAAATATTTATCTGTGAACCTACATCAAGTTTGGGAGGTTAAAAGGGTTAACAGATATGTGTGTTCTTACTCTGAGCAGAAAGAGCACAATCTTAAGGCTTTAAATAAAAAAAAATATATATCCTCTGAAGAAACTATTAGAGCACAATGTCTAGGTGTAGGGAACACTGGGGGGCTCTAAAACTAGAGCCTGGAACAGCATACATTTTTCCCATGGATTTGCTGCTACATTAGAAGACGGCACAAGAAGACCATATACAGAAAAGACATCTACGATTCAGAGGACTCCTTTCAGAAACTAGTAGCACTGCTGATTTGAATCCAAATTATTTCATTAAACCACTTATGCAAATATGATAAACAAAAGTGAAGTGTGAGACTAAGTGGTATCTTTTTAAATGGCTGTGTTAATGCTAATACATGAAAATTTTTAGGAATAAAAGGAAAATCACTTTACATTACAGGCTTTAATTCATCGTTTCTACAAATTCATTGCACTTGGCATCAAGGAAACCTAAGCTGTGAATCAACTTTAAAATAACATCGCTGAGTTATTTTCACTGAATTCTTCATATTTTATCACTTCCCAGCATAAAGCTATGTTTCTTTTCTCAGAACAAAAGCTTGAAAAACAAACTCTTATCAGGAAGCAAGCTCTGCGGGATCCACGCAGAAGAGGTGAGTACATTTTCTCTGCTGGTTTGGGCTGGATGAAGGCAGTATCCATACCACATTGGATTTTGATGTTTTAATCCAAACATCTGGTACTATTTTCTAAAACAAATATACAATTTAGAGAAAAAAAAAATTAATCCAAACATCTGGTACTATTTTCTAAAACAAATATACAATTTAGAGAAAAAAAAAACACATATCACATGTTTGAATGTACATGAATGCTTTACACTGTACATCTGAAAGAAAAAAAAGTCAGTTAAATATCATTTTCATGAAATGCGACTCTGGACTACATTCTAACCTTCACTATACAGTGATGCTTTGGTTCACCAATGCTTCTGTTTGGTTCCTGAACAGAAGTACTTGGCAAAATTTTCCCATTCTCAAATTTTCCATTGGTGATATTGATATTATAGAGGAATTTGATTCACTTCACAGCCAAAATCAATGAACTAATTAAGTTTCTGACCTGAGGTACCCCATGTTATCAGAACTTCCTTAGTACATATCCCGTCCCATTTCACTCTGTGTTGCACTTGCACCCTCTGTGTGAGGTGTGTGTTTTATCATGATGACTGAATGTCAGAACGGGAATTTGGGGATTGATCTTCTACTGTAGGAAACAAATAGAGACACTGGTTTTAATTACTATGGATGAAAATTGTCTCATGCATTTTTGACAGAGGAAAAAGAAGTCATTCTATTTAATATAGATGCAACTAAAAATCACTTTCCTATATTCTTCATCCTGGAATCTATCTATGGTGTGATGTTCATTCATGGCATGTAGGTCCTACTAAGCAATGCTTACTATAGACAAGAAATGGTAGTGAAATCATCAAAAGTGGGTTTTTGATTCCTCGAAGAGAGGAGCCAAGAGCCCCTTTGTTAGCTGGGTTCTCCAAGTAGCAAACACAGAGATGGATAAAATGTATGTGAAATATATTACAATAAAAGCTTGTGATAGCGGAGGGCAGGCATAGAGGCTCTCACTTCGTGGAGGGAAGTGGAGAAAGGAGGGTGGGATAGAACAAAGAGCGTGACTTGCACGGGGTTCACATTTCCCCCTTTCCATACTCCTGAGCAAGTGCAGCTGAGAGCGCCCAGACAGATCTGCTCCCTGCATACCCCACGGCCCCTGTCTCCTGCCACCCTCATCTTTCTGCAGGAATTGAGGAGAAGGGGACCTGTGAGCATAGCTGTTGCTCTTCAGTGCTCCAAGGAGGAAGCAGAACTAGGACAGAAATTCAGCCAAGGAGAAGGAGGCTGAATATTATAACAGTGGGCATATATCCAGCCCAGATGTGAATTTCCTTTATTAAATCAAGTGAAAGCACTCTTTCATAAGCAAAATAGTCATTATCACTACCACTGCAATTTAAATCTAACATGCAATGTAATCCTTTTGATAATACCTTGCATAATATCACATGGAAAATAAATAGAACTTTTCAATACATAGTAACTAAATGTTGATGCTCCATAAGATAAAAAGTCAAACCTACTGGTCTGTAGATTTGATTTGGCATGATTTCTGTTCATTTCACTTTTGAATTTGGATAGAAATAGATTTGACATTGTTTATACTTGCTAAGGTCCTAGAACTAGAACAATGTAGTCTGTGCAGGTTCTGCATATGAATTACAGTGGAGGCGGCAAGTAGAAATATGCTTTATACAACACTATCAAGACAGAAACTGTATTCTGAGATAGAAATGTTCTCAGGAGTGACTCAGGCATAAAAAAGAGGAATAAAGCATATGTAATGTTTAGGAAAATACAGGGCCTATCTTTACTATTTAGGCTCTTAATTCAAGATTGATTAATACTTTTTTCTTTACCCCAATGCCTCAGAAAATACAGTATTTGAAAATTATTATGCATGCATTGTTCTATAATGTATGGTAGCACTGTCTACTGCTTTAAATGTCATGGGTCCATCACAATATATTCATTTGCCTTACTGTATTAATAATTCATGCAGTGAATGTAGAGCTTACCATACTGGGTTACAGGGATATATTTAGTCTGTTACAAGACAATTTCAATGTAATGTGATGGCAAATGGAATCATTTGATTCATCTCATCACCAAAAACTAAGCAATAGTGTCTTCTTCTAGTTGACATGCTGAAAAGAACCTTACCTTCTACATAAGTTACCATAAACATTTAGTACTCATACATGAGTAATTATGTTTTGATTTGTCATGTCAGCACATTAACAAGGGCGGCTACTACAGACACTGTTCTCCATCATCATCACTACTAGTTCACAGAAGAAGTGATATTTGAAGAAATAATGGTAGAAAATAATCTCAGCATGGGACCAATGGGCCTAGCTGCGATGATCTGTCATGCTTGCCTACGTCTTCATGGTCCTTATCTCTTACCTTCATCATCACCACCCTGATTTCCCCCTTTCAAGGTCCTGGAACTTTGTTGCGCAACCTTCATGGCTTACTTGCACCAACATTTAGAATTCTACTTCAAATTATTATGCAGTAAAAAATTACTGAAATTACAAATATAGTCATATCTCAGTCATTTGAAATTTATCCATTTGATAATGTTAACCTTTCAATATGTGGCTCAAAAGCTAATAGTCAACATGGCAATTGCTTTTCAAATTAATGAACATTACAACCGGTGGCCTCAGTCAGAAAGTACGGATTTTTTCTGCAATCCCCAGAATAGATGTTGCTGGTTAACTCACTGAAAATTAGAAGAGTGCTTGAATATGCTCTATGGAGGACACAGAGACTGTAAGCACGACTTCAGAAAGCTATTTTTACACTATTCTAATAAACTGAAGAGACCTCCCACCTATCAAACCATGGCCACTGAATACATGAAAGCAATTCAAAATCAAACATCTTGGTGTTATTGTAGTTCCTAAACAATTCACTTTGGGATTATAAATTAAGATTATAATTGATGTTTAATAAAGATTACAAAGAGAAAAAGTATATATTACATTCTGTGCATTCAGTGAAATATGCATATCTCAGATGATTAAAATTGGTTATTTCTCACACCAGAAAGAGAAACAATGCCGTGGAAGACTGTAAGTGGTGTTGAATGAATTATGCACAGTTTAAGTGGAAATAATCTCACAGTCCTCTTGATATCTGTTAGTAAGAGTTGAAAAAAATGTTGTTCTTTGTGAAAGATCACTGGCCTCACTATAAATGTGTCCTAGACACTAGGCATTTTCAAGAAGACTAAAATGCTGATCAATCTTTTATTGAAAAGTAAAAGATGGCAGAAATTCTCCCTTACGGAAGTAAGTAGCACAAAATGATAATGATATAGGAATCAGAACTGTCTTAGAAAGTTACCTGGAGACAGAGAGTATGTGCATCAGTCAGGGTTTTACCGGAGAAACAGGTATAACAAAGGATGTACAAATTGTAAGAAATTACAAGATTGGCTTACGAAGGTCAGCCAGAGAGTTGTACGGGGAAGTGTGCAGAGGATGTCTGCACACTGAAGACCGAAGGAATCAGTCCAGGGTATGGAGTTCACTGCAGAGTTCCGTGCAAGTCCATACCAGGAGGCCGATGAGCCTGCAATGGAAGGCTGAAGGATCCAAGGTGGAAGCCAAAGAGTCTGCACTAGAAACCAGGAGACAAAGTCCAAGCTGAAAGTGAAGACTGGAGCTCCTCCAAAAGGAATGGAAGTTCCTCTGTCCTTTTTCACTTCCCTTTTATATTATCTAGGTGATGATCCACCTTAGGGTGGCTCCTCTACACCCTAGAGTGTAGAATTGCTGAGCCAAGTTTAGTTATGCTTCTAAACTTCTCAAGTTGACATAATCAATCAAACACTACAGTAGTACCTGAAATATCATGATTGTGAGTCACTTGGGAAACTATGGAGAAGGAAGAGTTACAGTAAATGTTGAATCTAAAATAAAAAATAGAATTTTAAAGGGGTCAGGGCCCAAGTGAGTTCATATTCTTAAGACCCATTAGCAATCATAATTAGACAATGATAGCTTTTTTGTTTCCTTGATTATGAATAATTTCATATCACTCTTCTTATCAAGACAAAGAGAATGACTTTTTTTATATAAATGAGAATTCACTGTTTTGCAGGAAAGCACAAATTTGTGTTGCTTTTGTGTTTAGACTTTAATTGTAATAGAGTTGTTAACAAAATTTGAATCCCTTCCTTCTTCCCTTCCTCCCTCCCTTCCTTTTGTCCCTTCCTCTCTTTCCCTTTTCGCTTCATCTTTCCTTTTCTCCTTCTTATTTTTCATTTTATTTTCTTTGTGTCTGTCTTATTAGTTTTCTAGTTGAATATATTACAAAATATAGGTGATACCCAATAAAGACCCTTATTGAAAATCTGTTTCCAGTATTAGAACTTTGTACTGGTGGATGGCTCGTTACATTCCCATTCTTATTATAATCAGTGCAGCTCAAAACATTGGCTAATAATTTAAAATTACCACAGGGCTACTACATTTGACATGGTAGATAATATTCATAAAATTACAGGAAGCTGAATCACAGTATATTTGCAAATTCTCCCATGGAAGAATTGTGTACTTATATCTATTCTTAGAAAATTATAATATTTCAACATTCTGGGGATACTTTATTTAATAGACATATAATTTCCTGTGTTTATTAACTTCCATGGCTAGCTACTTTTTAAATTGAATTTCATGGAGATATAAAGTGTATACAATACACTTCATCTCATTAAATATATACTTTAGTGGATTTTAAACATGCGCAAATTCAAGATACAGGTTTTGACAACCTAACTAATTCCATTTCACTATTTTACCCTGGCCTTTACCTTTAATTCCCCAGACCCTATTTGTTACTAACATGGTTTCTACCCCTATTAACATGACCTTCTTAAAATATCACAACAATGGAATGTTACAAAATGCAGCTTCTAAAACTTAATTTTTCCAAATTTTATGATGAAATCCATTTGTGTTTTTACATGGTTCAGTACTTTATTTTTCTTTTCAAATTGTTCTACACCATTTGACTACTCCACTTCATGAGTGTACTACAGTTTCCTGACTCACCAGGTAATTGGATGATTGGGTTGTTTCAAGCTTATAGCTATTCTGAATACTGATGCTATCACTGTTTTTGTGTACAATGCAATTTATCTCAGTCGAACATCTTAGAAGTTGTAGAGCACTGCTTATATTTAGCTGCTTAAGAAACTGTCAAACTGATTTCTAAAATGATTGAACCAATTTATATTCCCATTTGTTTTTCTAATTCATGTGTCAACCAAAAATTGTGTGCTTTGTGGTACTTTGTGCTAGACACTAACAATTCAGTTGCTATTAATACAACAAATTGTTCTTGAAAATATGGAATGCTTCACAAATTTTTTGGTGTGTAGGGACTCCTCTCATCTCTATATTGTCCTGATTTTATTGTAGGTGATAAAGAAGTGAGTACCAGCTCACTTCAATTTAAATTTCAATTATTTAAATTTAAATCATTATAATTAAATTAAAGATATAACTACATTATTATTTATTTCTCTCTCTGTGTGTGTGTATCTGTGTGTGTGTGTCTCCTGGGTAAAGATCCATGACATATAATTCTATATGAGGAAATAACATAATACAGTGAACTAATGTCCTTAGAAAGTTCCACACCAATATTTGCTGATAGGTTGGAACACATACCTTTACCTGTGGCTTTAGAGAGCATAATTTAGTGTGATAGTCAACATACATCTGCTGGCAGAGACTTCCTTGTAAAGCACTTCTTCAACTGGAAATGACATTCTTTAAAGTGCCTTCATCTACCAAAAAATATACATTATAATATCTTTCAGAATAAATATCCATAATACATAAGAAGCTCCTCAGAAAATTGCACTGTCCTTTATAAGTGCATTCTTCTAATGTGAAAGCACCATTTACCTCAGAATTATAGTACTTTATAACTCCTGTTTTATTTGCTGTGGACATAAGGTAGATCAGACTAAGTCATCAATTTAATATTTATGTACTAATTTATTGACTGATATTTTAATTTGAAGATAAAAATTAAACATATACAGCGACAACTCAGGCAAACATATGCACAGATATATGTAACATCTAAAATTAAGCTCTTGGCCATACCTGGATGACAGCAAAGTTTTTTGTTGGGATTATAGTTGTTATAGTTTATGTCTAGATGGCCCCCCAAAGCCTCCTGCATTGTTAGGGTTTTTCCAAAAGTGGCTGAATCTTGAGTGCATGATTGAGTTGTATTAAGGATGGGTGATTGCTGGATAACTTCAGTGATTGGATTGACACAACCTTGATTGCAGTAGAACAGATACGATATAAGTGATAGAAAGAGACTTGTCTCCCTCCCTTAATTGTTGATTTTGCTGTTGTCTGTACCTGTGAACTGTTCCTTTCTGCCAGGTGCCATCTTGTCTTGGAAGCAACTGATTATGGGCTGAAAGGTCTACAAATTGTGAGCTAAATAAATCTTTCCCCCTTTTAACTTTATGTTTTGGGTATTTTGTCTCAGTAATGAGAGAAAAGTAACTACGACAGAATGTGGTACTAGGAGTGGGGTTGCTGCTGTGACTATTCCTAGCCATGTGGATCAGGAGATTTTAGGAAAGATTTTTAGGAAGTGTTAAGAAAGGTTTAAAGAGTCCAACCGAAAAATTATAGCAAGAATGCCTTAGGCTGTACTATATGGGATACTGTGGTCAGAGCTCAGAAGACCAGAAAGCCTATAAAGATCAGGCTCAGAACGTTTCTGCTGGGAAGAAGGACTGCACTGGTTGATGGACTCCAGATGATATGTGTTGTGCCTTGGTGGGAAGTTTGTCTGTATTTTGCATGTGTCCAGACAGTTTGCCTGAAACTTAGACAAGGACAGCAGATTAATTAATCTGAAAGAGAAATTTCAAGGCACTCTAATCGAAGCAGGGACGTGGCTACTATTGGGGTTTTTTAGCCAGATTTATATTGAGAATTAAGAGCAAAGAGCCCAGCAGAATGATTTAAAACATTGTGTGTTTGGCCAGCAAGGAAATTCTACTAAAGCTGTGAACTGCAAAGATAGAGCAGAGATCTTGATTGCTGAGAAGGACCTGGAGAACAGAAAAGATGGCCTGAAGACATCACAACAAGAAGAAAACTTCACCCTTTACAGCCTCAAAATTGCAAAAGTGAAAAAAGACTCTTCTTCGAGAAGGAAACTCTAGAGCTGCATCTTCTAGAATGGCAACAGCCTGGAGAATTTGTTCCTTGGAATTGGATTCTGAGTGCTCAGTGATCCAGACACTCAACACCTACAGCCAAAAGTAAAATAAGCCTGGCTACTGCTCCAGCTGGTGTGGATTTTAAGTGCATGCAGAATGAAACATTTATGGGGTCAGGAAGGCTTCTACCCAGATTTCAGAAGGCCTGGGAGGCCAATCAGTGTGCCCCTGAAAGGGCAGTGTGTGAAGCTGTGAGTGTGAAGCAAAAAGTGCGGTAGAGACTTCAGAAGTTTGGAGAAGCTAGGAATGTGGATTGTCTGAGGAAAACTGTGAGCAGAGAGAAGAGTGGGGCCAAAAGAGAAGCTATGGGAGCTACAACCACTGGAAGTGCCATAGGAGTGATGCCACCCAAACATTTTGCATCTCACAATTTGCCACAATTTGCCACAATTTGCCTCAGATGCTCTACGTGGAACTACAGGACTTAGTGTTTGTTCTGCTGGATTTTAGACTTCCTTTGGTCCCATTCCTTTGTATCTCTTTGTCTGTAACTTTCAGAATGGAAATGTCTGTTTTGTGCCATTGAATGTTGGAAGGGTTTTAACTTTCTTTGCGTTTTTACAGGGGCTCACAGATAGTGTTTACCTTAAATCTGAGAGGAATCTTTGACTTGGACTTTTTAGCTAGGAATTTGCATGGGTCTTTGTGGAGTCAGGGGTGAAATGTAATGGTTTGTATCTGGATGCCCCCCAAACTGTCATGTGGTCATAGAGGTGGGTGAATTTAGAGTATGTGATCGATTTATAGTGCAATGATTGGATTAAGGGTGCTGGGATTAACAGTGCGTGATCGCTGGGTCAGTCCCCTAACTGGATTTGCACCACCCTAATCCGGGTAGACTGGATACAATATAAGGGACAGAAAAAGGCCTGTCCTCACCCCTCACCCCACTTGCTTGTTGATTTTGCTGTCTTCCATCTCCAGCGAACTGTTGCACTTCTGAGATGTGCCACCCTCCCTTGGAGCCAAGGCCTGAAAGGTCTCCAAATTGTGAAATAAATAAACCTACCCCCGCCCTTGTATCTTTAGGTATTGGGTATATATTCTCAACAATGAGAAAAAAGTAGCTAAGACAAGAAGGCAAGAAGAACAAAAAGCAAATTCCTCTAAAAAATACATTTGAAAATATATCATTTAAGCAGTCTTTGGTTTTTCTCTTTCCCTAGCAAATGGTTGTTTCATGTATAAATCAGTGTTTAACATTTTCTGCTTTATTTCCAAACTGGTTGGATTCCGTTTTGTTAGGCTGAAAATATATTATTGTGCATGCTGAAGATTTTAAAACTTCATGTTTGAAACTGTAAATGATTTTAGGCCCTAATCCATGTTTCTGCTTTTACAGTCAAAAAAAATCCAAGCCCAGCTGAAGGAACTTCGTTATGGGAAGAAGGATTTATTATTTAAGGTGAGCACCTTTCTCCCTTCCCTCTCCAACTTGCTGGCACCACACCAAAACTATCAAAAATCTTATATAGCTTACATTGAATTTATAGACTTTGCCAAGAATCAAAGTTGCCACTATTTTGAACATACTTTCATTTTGTTGTCTACTTCATAAAATGAAATATAATTACAAATTCCTGGGTTCCTTTTCTATCAAAAGCAGCCATTTTTTCAAACTGTTTAGTTCCTTTTGTAACTATCATTACTTTACTTCCGTGATGAGGAATATCATCTTTTGGAAGAACTGCATAAAGCAGAATATGAAGGAGATTTCCAGTGGTGAGATTCACTGGTGAGCTACAGTATTGAGTTCCAGAGATTTTTGAAGAATGAATCAATATTATAAATTACTATTGATTGATTTTAGTTATCAATATTTTCCTGTCCCAAGCTAGTTATCAAAATCTACAATTAACTAGAAATCTGACTCAACCTATACATGTGGTAGAATGAACAATGAAGTAAAGGTACTCAATTCCCAATTTGTGGAACCTATGAATATTATCTTATACGAGAAAAGAAACTGTAAATGTGATTAAGTTAAGGATCTTGAAGTGGGAAAATTGTTATCCAGATAAGTATTGATTTACCTAATGATTACTCTTAAGAGTGAGGTAAGCTGCTGAAAGGAAGGCTATATGATCAAAAGAGCAGCAGGTGAAATCATAATGGAAATGCTTCTCTCTCAGTCCCCACAAGGAATCAGCCATGCTGACATGAGATTCTAGTCCCATGAAATTCACCTCCGAATTCTGATGTTGGAGCCAGTAGAACAAAGGCATGATGCTTTAAGCCACTAAGTTATTTGTTATCTCTGTAAGAAAAAAAAAAAAACTAACACAGATGGTTCCTTCTAGTCCCGTGGGCAGGGCAGATAAAAGGCAATTATTAATAACTTTTGTGCTTGCTGTATATTCCACATGCTGAATTCAGTAGAAGGAATAATACTTTGTTATTAAAATATATGTAAATTACCTTGCATATAATACTTACTCTTCAGGATTTTTTTGTTTATTTATTTATTTTTTTGGTACCAGAAATCAACCTTATGACTTCAGGCTTGCCAGGCAAGCATTTAGGCCACTGAGCTACATCCCAGGCCTTATTTTTCAGATATTTAAGTACAAAGACCATCTCAAACTGCAGAAGTTTATTTTTAAGTAAAAGAGGAATAACTATCATTTTACTTCATGATTGAGAAATTTAGCAATTTTTCTAATGAGAAAAGTAAGAAATAACTTTATCCTCCTTAGTGCTTTCAATCTGGGCTTTGGAGTCAGAAGTACATCTTCCCATGCTGTCAACCGGTATTTAATCAATATCTCTTCCATGCAAAGAATGGATCTGGGCACATCCTGTCATTTGCTCTTCTATAAATATGCTTCCTGACTTTTTTTTTTTTTTGGTTTTATCTACAACATGATTTTCCCCAGCAACACAAGCAAATTATAAACTAATTCTCACTTATGCTTAAAAAAACACACATCTCAGCACTCTACCATTGTATGCGATAAATAGACAGCACACAAGGCATTTAATCTGAATCTGTACACTTTCCTGCTGAGGTTCTGGAAATCAAGTATCTTAACTTTTCACTCAGCTTGGCTTTAGCTTTCTGTAGTCACCAATAACAAATGGTAGAAATTAGCAACAATAAACAAAATATATGGGTGTTGTTTCCAACAAAATTTCTAGTTCTCTGTGAATTCCTTTAACTTAATGAACTCGGGAGTGTTATGGAACAAATTCTGGTTACTTATCATTCCTGAGCTGTAATTATTAGTCTTATGAAAGAATAGATGATTGTAGGAGGCCTTTTGAATCTTTAGAATTTTATTTTTTTCTCAAAGAGTTTTCAAAAACAATATTGGGGGATTAGAATGAGAAAATCTAATGATGTTAAGGAATTTATTTTAACAATATACCAGCTGAATATAAATTCATAACTTATCAACTTTCAAAATTCATCTAAGTCAAAATTTGTTGAAAATCTCAGTGACTTGAAAAATGAGAGATAGTATTTGTAAGTCTTGTTATTTCACATCATTTTAAGAGCAGCATATGCCTACAACATTAGAAGACACGTGTATGTGTTGTGTGATGCTAGCTCATAGAATGTAAAGCATGTCATCCACCACCAGAAACTTTACAGCAGGATTTTAATTACCTCACATAAAAGCAGGCCTAGAAGCACGGGGATTTTATAGTTTTTTTTTTCAGGAGGTCAACGATGACAAAAGTTAGATCTGTTCTTAGATGTACCCGACTTTTCGTATCACATTTTTAAACTTGCTGAGTGTTCTAAGTTTTGGTTCCTCCTTGTATCCTTATGGCCACTAAACCTGTATGGGACATCATCATCCAGCTGTGTGTCAAGTCGAAGCAGTAAAGCAAGGCATGTGCCCTTCAAAGGAATGATTTTCATACAGGGTGGGAAACGGTTGAAGAAGATTCCCCAACTAGAACGTCGACCCATGTAAAAGGAAATCATTGACACAGTAAAACCTGTGCAAACTTCTTTTAAACATAAAGTCAAAGCAGGGCATTGATGACTCACAGGGTGCCATTTTCTTCTGCATTAAGGGACTCATCCGCTCATGTTTGTTGACAAATTCATCTGACATGCTTACCACAAGGTTAAGCTCCAAGTTTATGGAATGGAGAATAAATGCAGTGAGCAAATCAGTAAGTAACTTAAGGAAGCAGCTCATGGAAACCCACGGAGAGAACATTGAAGGGCTTGTAGCCACCAAAATTCACCTATCTACCTTGAAAATAAATCCACAAATTATCTTTGGTGGTACTTTCTCTGTAGATGAGCAGTACAAAATACTATTGCAAATAATTTTCCGTTAGTATTTGTTTAATTTTAAATGGATTGGTGGGTTTTAGTAAATGTAGGAATTTAAATTTTTAATTTTTTCCTGAAAATAATGGCTCATGCTGAAGATTGCAGGATACAATGATCAATCTAGAGTCTTTGTTAGTGCTTGAAACTCACTTTATCCATGGGAGGCTTCCAGCCGCAGGGAACTTTCTCCTCTGCAGGAAGTGGTGATGACACCTGGCTGCTGGTTCCTCAGGGCTTTGAGTTGGTTTGGAGCCTTCGTGATAATATTCAGATCTGATGTTCTCAAGAAGCTGATGTTCTCTGTGTCACATGGCTTTCTGTTTCTAATTATATGAGTATATTACTTTTTTAAAACATTCAAGCATAGCATTTATTCAAAGCAGAAAAAAGTTTAAAAAATCAAAAACTGTAAAACTGCAAAAATATATTTAAAATCTCATCACTGAGAACAAATAATATTTTGATAAATTTCATATTTCTATCAAGTTCTTTTTGTACAAGACATAATCCACTATGTGGATATATTAACACATAATTTTCACATATAAAGGGAGCATTTAATTTTAGTGCATTTTTCATACAAATGTTAATGCCTAATCATCTGTGATATGCCATATATAATTTATCTTTTCTCTTAAATGTGTGTGGAAGTGTATGTGTGTGCATATATATGTGTGTGTGTGTGTGTGTGTGATTTAATTTTAATGAACATTAGGATAAAATTAGTTTTTGTTTCTATCTGAGTTTGGATTTATGGACTGTGTATTAATTGTTAAGTAGTTCACTAAAATTATTGGAAAATATTAAGTTTACTGATAGCTAGGTCAGGTTACTTGTAAGAGAATTATAACAGTTTATACTAGCACCAGTAGAAAAATAACAAGAAAGTTGAGTCAATTCAGATTCTTTTCTACTGATTATTTCCTGAGAGAAAAACAAATAAGGAGGTATGTAATTATACAAATTAATAAATGCAGTAAAAGAATAACTGACTTTTTAATTTTGAGAGATAAATTTTAAAATTTTGTATTATAAAAAAATACAAAATTTGTATTTTTTTGTATTTGAACATAGAGTGTAGGATTTGTCTTTTAATTTTCATCCCTTGCTTTTATTTTCTTTGGGTAAACTGCAAATGTATGTTCACGATACTTTCCCATCACCAAAATTTAACAACAAAGCTATTATTGAGGGAGGGAATGAAAGGCTGAGATGCATGATCAGATTATCAATCTAGAAATTGATATTATCAAGAAATGGTCAAACTTAATTCAAAATTAGCTCTTTATTTTCTGCAGGCTAAAGACTAGATACAACCTGAGCAGGAAGGGCTTTGAACATACATATTGATCCTGACAACTTTTCTGAACTAACTTTCTGCTTAAAGGAACTGACTTGTGTGTACGCAATTGTTGATGATTTTGTTCAACACGTCAGATTGTTAGCTTTGTTCTCATAAAATCATAAAAGTATTATCCATCTCATATCTAACATACTTATATTATTTAAGCAAATTATAAAAATAATAAATGGTCAGGCCTTGTGGTATATGCCTGTAATCTCAGAACTTGGGAGGCTGGGGCAGGAAGATTTTTTGGAATCTGAGGCCAGCCTGGGCCACAAACTGAGCTCAAAACTATCCTGAACTATATAGGGATATTCTGTCTCAAAAAGACAATAGTAATAATAATAATAAATGGTACAGGTAGTTAATATGCCAAAGTAAGGCATTGAATAAATTTTTAGTGATCTCATCTAGACAGGGAACCTTGAAATAACTGAATTAGGAAACAGCTAATAATAATAAAACGTATAGAACAATACTTATGAATCTTATAGATAGTTTTCTATGTGCTTTATATGCATACCACATTTATTCCCCAACACAAAATATTTATGAGATAGTGCATCTATATTTTTGTGTATACATACACATACGAACATATATGTACATATGTGTGTATATAAAGTGAGGGCTAAGAAATTACTTCTTCAAGGTTAGTAAGAAAGAATTTACATTTATCAAGTATGTCCCAGGATTTATGCTGAATTCCTTCCCCCGCTCCCCCTCTTACCTGTTTTCTTCCTCTGGTCCTGCTGACGTCCACTTA